CCACCTCCTTGCTTCCCAGTCAACTTTGTTCTTCAAATATTTAAATGCAATGTCAATCCTTATCTTCTGTTAATTCTTGTTCTTTTATTGTCCTCTCTCCTTAATAGTATTTTTCTTATATTCTCTAGCACTCAGTAACCCCTTGCGTTTTAGTGGTCTTATTGCCTTGCTTGGAGTGAAATGATTAAAAAAAAAATAGTCAATGTTTTATTTTGATTATAACATTTGAATTTTGGAATCAGAATTGAAATTTTCTCTATCTACATAGAAGTGCTCAATTTAATTTTAATCTTGACAGAAGAAAAAAGAAGAGAGTGTTCTTCCTTCCTCAAGTGGAATCAAAGGTGACGGATGAAAATAGATTTCTTTTGTGCATTTCTGTAGTATTCTTCTTTTCTGTTCCAATTGGCAATGACAAAACAAATGCTAAAAAAAAAAGGAAGATTATGGCAAAGGATGACAGTATCCCCAGACATTATTTAATTTTTTGGAGGGCACATATTTTTCTTTAATAAGATTTCTTGAATCTTTAGACCGGTAGACAAAAATAAATATACCGTTTAATAAATAAACGGAGCATCTACTCAAATATGGGTATACACTAAAAATTACATTTAAAACGATAAAAATTTATCATCACTATAAAAAGATATTTGTTGTATAATATTCTATGTATAGCATATGCACCAAGTTTGCTATTTTAAAATGTTTACTTTATTTTCAAAGAAACATTAGTTGCTAAGATATTTTTCTGAAATTGCACTATTGTTTAAATAAAATAGTATTGTGTTTTCTTTAGAAATTAAACTCCTGTTGAAACAAAACATTTTCTTTAGAAATTAAACTTGAATAATTTCTTATGACTTTAATATTTGTTATCTGTATTTTTTTCAGAAAAAAGTGTATTCAGTAATGGGGTTAAAATTCTTTTAGAAACAAATCTTCTCTTTTACACCCTAAATATTTTTTGTCTATGAAATTAAAAATAAAATGTTCTTTTTAATTTTTTAACATCTCTAAATATTTTATCTGTGGACAGGAATCAATAATGAAATAAACAAGTTCTATGAACTTTTGCAACTTTAGTAACAGATTTGCAGGGACCATTGTAAACACCTTGAATACCATCACTCATCCTATTAGCAACGTATGTGCATGTGTGTGTGTGTGTGTGTAAAAGGCCAGATTTAGACATTAAGAGCCTCCCTGAGCTAATAAAAGTTGTGGGGCCCCCTTCATTACATATGTACCCCACATTGTGTCTATAAAAAAAAAAGATATATTTTTAGATAATGCTTTTTTTGATATAAAACATGAAACACTTCAACTAAAATTTTTAATGATTTTGGAACTGATCTAATTTATTTCATTAGCAACTTCATATTTATTACATCTGAACTTTACATCCTACAGAAATGTATCTGGAATGAAGGGCTGTATGAATTCTAGGATTCAAATTCACTAGCAAAGCATTCTAAAATACAAAGATGATAGAGAAAGAAAATTATGATTTGCTACAGCCTTGCAATCTGAGATTGCCACAGCTGAAAAAAAAAATTTCATTATATTTATTGTTGAAATTATCAACTTCAAATAGACAAGCTAGTAATTCAAAATCATGGATTGCATCACATTGGAATGAAAGATAATGATTTGTTTCAATGAGAAATAAAATACACAGATATAGTAGAAAAAATGAATTTTAGACTAAATTAAATAAATTTCCCCTTCGAATTTAAAAGGCCCAATCCAAATAGAGGGGCCCAAGTATTCTAAATTGTTTCAAATTAGCTCAAAGGAGCCCAATTAAATCTGAAAATAAACAAATCTACTCTGTTCTTATATCTTTATTTTTTTGGTTTTATCAGGGGGCCAAGACAAGTGATCCCCTTTAGTCATGGGGTACCTAGGCTGCAAAATCCAGCACTATGTGTGTATGCATATGTATGTATGTATATATGTGAGAGACAGCTTTTGTTGCTTTATTAGTATTGTTTTAAATATTCATATCTTTTTCTATTTTTGAGTGCACTCCAGAAAAAAATAACAACTCGTTCTTATTGGAGTTATTTTTATCATATTGGAGATAAGCCCTTTAAAAGAAAAAAAAATTGTTGCACAGACTTGTTGGCTTATTTAATCAAAAATTTTGAACCCTCACTTTTTCTGCTTTCACAACCAACTTAAATTAAAAAAAAATATAGATAAAAGATTTGTACTAAAACAAAAAAAAAAAAACAGAAAAGAAAAATATATTTTTTAAAAAGAGGTAAAGCAAAAAAAAACTAATTATTTCTCGTCGGTGCTTCCGTAAACACAACACGCGGAAGCGAAAAAGAAACTAACGTCAGTCGCGGGCAAAACGTACAGCCTAAAATTCATAGGAGGGAATTCCTACTTACGTCATAATGACGTCAATGGACAGTGCCAGTGTGCGGATCTGAAAACATGGCCGCTGACATAGACTAAGTCAGCACACAGCAGTTATACTAGGCTGTATTCATCCTTTTCACTTGTGCAATATCATCAGGGGAGCGACAGATTGGTTGTGATAGCAATACCTCTACTACTACCACCATTGTTGTTGCTGCTGTAACAGTTTTGTTAAGCAAACAACCTACTACTAAATCTTTCTATATTATTACTGCTACACAACAGTAGTGGTAGTACTTTACACATTGCAACCACTATATTTTCTCTTTTTACAGACTATAGTAAGTATAAACTACTACTATAGCCACCTCTGATGCGTTTTACAGAACCACTGATTGTCATTTATTCAGGGATCATGCACTTAGTGGATATTTCATTCCGACAGTTGGAACATTTTGAAATATCGAGATCTTCGTCCTCGCATGACCGTTGGGTTGTGTACACCAGTCACTTTCGTTTGTTCGCTCTTATTTGGATATAGGAGTTGGATAATATTTGTCTCGCGATTACTGCCAAAGACTTGACAGAATTATATCAAATATATATTAATGAGCAGTTAAAAAAAAAAGAAAAGAAAAAAAAGTCATCTGCAAGAAGTAGGAAGAGATTTTTTTTTTAATTCAGAGGTGGGGAAATATCAAGGACCATGCAGGTGCGTTGTGAAGAATCCTATTTTGAATCTTAAAAAGCATTTCAATCAGTTCGTGTAAAATCTTTTTTTGTTCTTCGTTTTTACGTGATGTGTCCACTACTTGTGAAAAAGATGACAAAGGTCATATTATACGCTTGTGTCGTTATAAAATAACGAATTCAAACTATGAACACGAAAAGAAATAAATAGAAAAATGATCTTTTTTTTTTAGTTGACGCGTTTTTTGTTTTGTTTTTATTTTGTTTTTTTTTGTGTAAATGACACTTTTTAATTTTTAAAAAGGCAGTCAGATTTTTAGTTGAACATGATTCTGGAAAACAAGGACAGTCGGAAAAAATTAACAAATAAACAAACAAAAGTGGAACTGCTACTCTGCTAAAAAAAAAAAAAAAAACTGCTAAAAAACATCAAATAGAAGGATTTTACTAATATATTTTACAATAAAATAAAACGGAAAACAAACCGAAGTGGATTTTTCTGTTACATGCTTGACAGTGACAACTAAAATATTACCCTCCCACCTAATTTTTTTTTTTTTTTTAAAAACTGCAGAAATTATTACCGATACAATCAAAGTGTTCCATTATGGACCCCAAAATATAAAGCAAGAACGAAATACACACGCACGGAAAAAATATTCTGAAATGAATTATACTGCCTGACATGGCCAAACTAAAGAGGAAATTTGCGCGTGCGGTCGGCTGTGTTAAATGTTAAAAACTACAAAAAGTAGACCTCACTGTTCCGGTGGGGTAATGCTTCGCGGTTTCCTGTTAGTTTTACTAGCAGGGAGAGAAAAGAGAGGACAGACATGGGCTCATCGAGTGTCATTAAAATGACACGATGTTGCTGGTAACAGAGATTATTTGCAACTGATGAAATGCTGTTTATTGTAAACTGACGGTGTTTATAGAAATAGCGTGGCAAAAAAAAAATAGACCTTATCAGACCCTTTTTACAGGCAACTCAGACTTGTCCCCTTTTATGTTCATTTCGTAATGATAGGATCTGTCTTGCCAACGATTGATATTTAAGTTAATGATTTAACTAGAATGTATTTATTTCTTAAAAAATTATAGTACATGAAATTATAGATTTTTCTTGTTGCTTTTTTAAAACGGTCTAAAAAAAAAAAAAAAAAAAACTTCATTCGGACCGGAGAAAACGAAACTAGCTATATGACATTTAGAGACTAATTTACAAGTTTCTTCTTTCTTTTTGTCTTTTATTTTTTTTAAATGCTTTTTTTTTTTTTTAAACTACCTAAGCTCTACACAGCTCCTCTGACCATCACATGACACACACAAAACAGAAATCATTAGTAAATTAAATATTGTCCATTTTTAATTCGTTCTTCATACACGCCATGCAAAGTGCTTACAGTAGTAGTCGACAAGCTTCTTAATTATCATTTGTTTGTTACCAGATCATAACTCTATTACTTACAGCAAAAAAAAAAATCTGCTTACTACTGTTGCGGAACCAAGCAGGACGATTTTTGAATCCGATCTTGTATATAATCGCACCGAGAAAGATGCACGTGTTACAAGAACGAATGACCTAGACTGTAAGCAGTCTACACGTGTTGTTGTTTGTTCGTGTAGTCTGACGTTTTGGGTTTTTTTCCCTCTATTTTCATTTCAACAACTAAGTTTTTGTTTTCTGCCTTAAAAGGAAGAGAAAAAGGACTTTAAAAAAAAAAGAAAAAAAAAGCTACACCATGGATAAAAATAGTCCAGATCTTTCAGACCGTAACTATCTTCTTCACGATCCGAACTATTGTATAGACTTGGTAAAAAAGCTGGATGCTCTTCGTATCGAAGCAACCTTTACTGATGCCATACTTTGCGTCCAACACGAAGAATTCCCGTGCCACAGAAATGTACTGGCTGTTAGCAGTCCTTACTTCAAAGCCATGTTTACAAGTGACCTCCGAGAAAGTCGAGAGGCTCGCGTGTGTATTAGTGAAGTGTCACCCTGGACCCTAAAGAGAGTAATAGAATACGCCTATAGTGGTCGTATTGCTATTACTGATGAGAATGCCCAGGAACTGTTGGCTGCAGGCAGCCTCTTTGAATACCCAGACATTGTTGGGGCCTGTTGTGAATTTTTACGACGACAGCTGGATCATAATAATTGCTTGGGAATTGAACGGTTCGCCCAGGTGCATTCTTGTAAGGAATTACAGACTGATGCCCACAAATATACTCTAGAAAATTTTAGCATGGTTGTTAAAAGTGACGAATTTCTTGAGCTGTCCCCGGAACGCTTGCTCATTTATATCTCCAGCGATCTTATAGACGTGCGAAAAGAAGAAATAGTCTACGATGCAGTTATTCGATGGGTGAGATACGATCTTGACGACCGGTCACGTCACCTTACCAGTCTACTTCAACAAGTTCGTCTCCCCATTGTTGAATTAAGCTACCTCCGAGAAATAGAGGCAGACCCCTTAATCTATAATCAACCTGACTGCTTGGATTTGATACGCGAGGCTCAGGTGCAGCACGAATCTGTCTCTAACCAACAAGGTAAGCGTCGACGAAGCATGCAGAATAATAATGTCCACCCACGGCCTTCGACAGTGGCCAAAGAGGCCCTTGTCGTCGTTGGTGGCCTTAACAACTACATAACACGCTCAGTGGAGATGTACGATTTACAGAAAGATAGATGGACGAATCTACCAGATATTCCACAGCCCATCTCCCAGTACAGCGTAGCTATGTTGACCAACGCTCTCATCGTGTCTGGAGGCATCTGTGATGGCCACATTGTAGACACTGTGTGGCGTTTTGATGCCCTCAAACTAGAGTGGAAAAACATGCAACCGATGCTGCGACCGCGCGCTCGACATGCATCGACTTCGATCAATGATTACGTGTATGTAATCGGTGGTGTTGGTTACGGTACTAACAGAGATATAGTTGACTTGAACCCCATTGAATGCTACGATCCTGTGTCTAATGTATGGCAGGATGTTGGGGTGTGTCGGTTTCCAAGGACCCTGTCAAGGATTGTACCTTACAATGACACAATCCTAGAGGTTGGGGGACTTCAACAGGGACAAAGAGTTAACACGATTGAAACCTACCGATGCAAGGACCGAATGGTTGACCCTACCGGAGAGCAGTACGTCCTACCAAATAGTATACAATATGCACAGATTTTGGTTTTGGATAATGTTTTTTATATTATCTGGGAAGATAGTCGTAAAGTCCTCACTCTGGACCCCGAAAAAAGAACATTCCGTAACCTTCCTGATATGACCCATGTTCACATTCACAGTGGTGCTAGCATTTTGAAAGGTAAGATATATATCACAGGAGGACTTAGTGATGTAGATAATTCCATTCCAACACTAACTGTTGAATGTTATGATCCTACTACTAACAAATGGACAGATGTGACGAGTATGGGTCAAGCTAGATCTTCACATGGTTGTTTGACAATACATATGTGAGAATTAATTAGTTTGTATATTAAAAAGAAAAAAATTATAATGGCTGAACGTATAAAACTAAAATTTGTTTGGAAGGCAAATTGAAATTTGTGTCTTTTTTTTCCCCTTATCATTCCCAAATTTTTCTCTTCTTTTTAAATTTAGTTTTGTTTCTTATATTGAAATTGCTTTTTGAAAATTTTATTGCATACGTGTATGTATATTTCAGTAAGAAGTATATATATTGATGTATATGACTGTATAACAAATGAAGGTATTGTTTTTTCCATTTTATTTCCATTCATCTTCGTATGACTCGTATTTAATTTAAAAGTCACTTTTGCATTTCCTTTCTTTATGTTGTCTTCTACATTATACATTTGTACTCAGCAACCTCAAAAGAAAAAAAAAAGAAGCTAAATAAATAAAACAAATTGAATTTTTAAAATTTGAATTCTTTTTTTTTTTTCCCGATCATTTTTAACGGTAAATTTTGCCTCACGAGTGACAGCCCAAATAATGGATTTTACAAGCATAGCTGTAAGTGTAATGCCAAGATTATTATTATTATTATTATTATTATTTAACATTGATTGACTTGAATAAAAAGAAAATGAACGTGTCATAAACTATTTTGTTAGCAGAAATAAATATTTGAATTGCTAAATAAATTAAATATAAACTAGAGACCCTGAAAGTAGCATTATTAGAATTGTCTTTGTATTTTTTGGCTGGGTATTTTAATAAATTAAATTTTTAATAATGAAACTACTACACGCAAGCATGTACATTTTTATAGTAAAATTTATGCGCAGCTAACACTGATTTAGTCTCAAACTGTAAAAAAAAGTGTTACTTAACCTAAGGTTTGAAATAAATACATTTAAAAAAAATGAAACATCTTTCTTGAAGCCTTTATTTTTCGCTTTAATTCCAAGCTAATTAAATTTAAAACCGATTTTAAAAAAAAATATTGGAATTATTTATTTTCTGATTATCAGTTGAGTAAAAAAAATTAAACTATTTTATTTTTAATGACTAATAATAAATAGGATCATTATCCGTTTAAAATTTTTCTTCTCTTATTGATTTGTTTTTTGCTTTCCACGTCTGATAAGACAGCAAACCCTGACGTTTTCAGAACAATCAGCTGTAGTATAATAATGCCTTATTGTTAGCCAACAATTTTCATACGAATTCCATCTCTTTTAATTTTATCTGCTAGAGATAGATTCTCAAGAACGGTGTTCACTGAATTCCTTGTCAAGTGCACTGTTATACCTACATATCTTCATCCTTCCTGCTTGCTTGTAAAAATCTATTGCAATAATACATGATTGCCGTGACTACTACAGTTTGTCACCGTGTACTAACTTTGAAAGGCAACAGACATTGAAAATGTCTGTTGAATTGCCCTTATCAATAATACTCTTTTAGTCTTGTATTCCAAAATGGTAAACTTTAAACATGAGAAACGACTGATTGTAATACGTAAATATTTTTAAGACATTCATTAACGTAAATATTTTTAAGACATTCCATTAATAAATAAATTGGATTTTTGCTTTTTAGTCATGAAAATTCACTTAGTTACCATGCCATCATTTGCTTATTTATAAAAAAAAAAAATTTAAACTGCATGTATTTTAATTTTTTTTTATCGATTTTTAACATTTTTTTCTTTTAATTTTATTTTTAATTCTTTTTGTAGATTAAATCAAAATACATTTCCCTTTCTGTCAGTCAAAGAAAAAAAATGTCCAGTACTAATTTTCTGTTTCGTGTCAACAAGTCATTTTTTACGTACAGTTCTTGTTTGGTCACTGTGGATCTATCTTTCATTGATCCTTCGATCATGTTCTCCGGTGTTATGATGTAAATCAGAATTTCTAGAAATCTTTAAGTTAAAAAAAGAAAATATTTACTTAGAAAAAATTATAAATTCTACTTTAATTTCTTTTTTTCATCCAAAAATAATGGTGTCTTGGAATTGGTAATTTCCTCTGAGAAGCGTTCAAAAGTTTGCCATAAAAATCACTTCTCACAAGAGTTTTGACTTTGAGATATTCATCAATATCCAGTTCATGTTTTATCTTTTAGTTAGTGCTATGGATGATTTGAATGTGAGTCTGGACTTTTGTTAAAACATTTATTGTCAGTGCGGAAACAAGCTGACCTCAAATATCTTTTTGGAGAAATAAATAAATTGGATTTTTGCTTTTTAGTCATGATAAATTCACTTAGTTACCATTTTTTTCTCTCTCTCTATCAGTTTAACGTTGATTAAATCACTTAGTCTAGAACAGTCTTATAAATGCACCAATTTTAGAGTGTTTTGTTTCTATGAAATCGAAATTCCTTTTGTAGTTTGACGTCCCCTTTTCACGGGAATATATATTTTATTTTTAAATTTTAGAAGGTGACTAACAGAAATAATTAAGCTCTAATTACATAATGATCACCATCATTTTTAAATAATAATTTTTGGATATTTAAATTGTGCCTAGTACTTAAATATCGATTTAAAAAAAAAGTTATATAGGAATTATTACATAATTTTTCTAGAATTTTAGATACTTTCTTGCTCAATGAATAAAATTTTATTTATTATTAACCTATAAATAACTCTCTTAACAACTAATTGTATGACTTTATTTAAAAAAAGATACTATTTATAAAACTGGAATTACTGGTTACAGTATTTTATTTATGTTTTTAAATATTCATTTTTTGAGTCACCGGTTTGATTACCTCTGTCAGAAAATCTTTCCTTTGTTATGGCTGACTCTTATTGAGAAATTGCTTTTTTGTTTATAGAATATAATTCTATTTTTTTTACATTTGCCTCTTTTATATGAAAATGTTTGCAGCTAGTCTTTTTGATTTCTTGCTTTTCAAATACTTGTATTTTATTTATTTTAAGGGTAAGTAATACAGGTATTTCATTTCATTTAAGTTTGCCTAAGAAAAGGAAAATTATAAACGCATTTTATTTGGGGTCTGACACTTTGTTCGAAATAAAACCATAAAAAGGTAGAATCAGGTAAAACATTTTGTTTTAATAAATTTGCACCTGAATTTAGAGAAATTATATTTCAAGATTCTGAATTTAATATATATGCTACCATAGAACATGTCAAAAAGTTATGGACTAGCATATCTGCTGACAAATGAAATGTATGTGCAATAACTGGGATCAGTGTAGTATCTGTGCATACCAAAAAGTTACATTACTGAAGCACAAAAGTTCATGACCTGGCCCTCCAACGAAAATCTAACCAAATGACAAAAAAAAAAAGAAAAAAATGTTTATCACACACACACACACACATATATATATATATATATATATATATATATATATATATATATATCTCACCACTGATTCACTAAAAGATTAGCATACCATGATAAAAAAAAAAAAATGCCCTAAACTTAATAAAAACAAAGTTTGTTCATCAAAATCTGTTACTATTAAAAGGATTATTGATTATTAAATTATATTTTTTGATCCTTTGAAGAACATTCAAATTTTGGTTAAAATATCTTTTTTTTTTTTTTTTTTTTTTTTATTTTTTATTTCCCTGTGTGCGGGACTAAAGATTGGTATAGGAAATTTTAGCGTCTTTTTTGCAGAGAAAAACACATTGATTTGGAAATTCCTGCAATAATCAAGTAATTGTTCAATTTTAATTAAATTTTCAGGACTTATTCACTAATAAATGGAATTATTTGAGAAATAATTTTTTTATTTAGAAAATCTTGCTTAAAATTTTTTTTTTTTTTTTTTTTTACTTTTGTTACCACTTAATTTTAAGAAAATCCAAGAAAATTAATTTTTGTGTTACTAATTTTTATATTAATTAAAAGCAGAATTCATTGGAGAATTTAAATCATGAATTTTTTTTTTTTTTTTTTTATCAAACAAGAACCTCGGTTACTGAAAATCTGCCCTGAACTGTAAAATAAAGTGCTGTAAAACTATGACATTATTTAATTGCTTTTATGGATAAGATGTGTTATGGATACTATAGTCTTAAGAAAAACATTTTTCAATGAATAATGAATTTTTACAAGAGTTTTCATTTTTAAAAAAAATTAATTAGAATAATTTATAAAGTTTTAAAGCTTTTTAAATTTCTGTATTACTTTGTGCCTTTTAGGTGATATTGTTATTAAGTAAATCTATATTTACTAATCATAAATGGAAAAGCTTAGTACAATTCATAGAAAACTGATATTTTAAAAAGAATTTTGAAAATTTTTTTTTTTTGTGTGTGTATAAATTTGCAAATTTTTGTATAGATATGGATGTACATACACAACATTATCAGAAAATTATAGCAGTAACTACAAATTTAAAGCCAAAGTATCTAAAATCCAATAAAACATCAGATTATGGAGAATATTTTCCTAAATTTTTAAAATTGCTGAGGACTTAAAACATATAAAAAAAGTCATTCACATTATATTTCATAATTATTTTTTATATATATATATATATATATACACCGTGGAAAAACAGATAAACCATCTGTCATTCGAGCTGTCAATACCTTAAATAAACAGCTACTGACATGTTAAAAAAATGCCTTTCTGTGATATTTTAAACTATTTTATTTAAGTAATATTTGTTTCAAATCAGATTAATTAAACCTTAAATCTGCTAATATTTGTCAAATTTGTTTCAGAAAAGTATTTTATTTTTAAAAGATTTTTTAGTATCAAGAATGACATTGACAGATTGCTAAAAATGGCACTGAAATCATAAATTTTAGTAAATGAAAATTCCTTCCAGTCCAATTAGTTTTGAAATACAGAAAAAGTATTTTCCTTATTGGAATTATTAATCTATTAGCTTGAAATTAAAACTAAAATAAAACCTTCAAGAAAGATTTTTCATTTAAATAATTAATTTTAAAATTTAGGTGTTGCAAATCTATGGTGGTACATATGCACATGGAAGATGAAAAGTAAGTAGGAATTAAAAATTGGTAATAAAATCCATATTTCTATTACAAATTTATTGAAACAAATGATACACGTTCTTTATTAGACGGGGAAAATTTAAAGTAAGTCTTCATATTTCAATGTAAGCACCAATGGCATCAACCAGTTTCCTCAAAAGGCCAGGGATGGAGTGAACAGTCTTCTGAAGGACCTCGTCAGGGTTATTGTGGAGAACCTCCCAAGTCCTCTGGTGTGCGAGGTTTTGTCTTGTACACCATCTCTTTTGTGTAACTGCACAGGTAAAAATCACATGGCGTTAGATCTGGACTTCTTGGAGGCCATTCATCATTCTATCCAACTGCCTGGAAAATGGTGGTCTAACCATGCATGCACAGTAAGAGCAAAATGGGGCGGGGTGCACCGTCCTGCATAAATATCAGGTCACCAATGTTATCCCAACCAGACACTGCGGGCCACATGTCATTGGGGTCACACACAAGATATGGGCCGACTACTATTGTTGCTGTCATTCTGTACCACATGGTCACTTTTGGTCAAGCTTGCATCCTCTCAACTGTCGTGTTCAGATCATTATCACAGGATGCCCAGTAATAGCAGTTGTGATGATTGATGAAACCACCAACATGGACTACAGCCTCATCACTTCAGAGGATGTTTTCAAACAATTCAAGCCAATCTTCATGTTAACTCTCCATATTCCTTTCTGCAGTTGCAGTTTTTACTTCCTGTATGTAAATAAGAAATCCCTGTTAGTGTTGTCTGCTTAAAAATTGTTTTTGTCTTGACTTCAGTGATATTAAAAATTCTATAATCTATTTCTAATGCCGAGTTACCTTACACCCACCCTGTTTGTGTAAGAATGGTTAAGAAATACATTATTTTTCCCCATCTGATTCTCTTGTTAATTTACTTAAACCCTTATGCTAGTGTACCTACAACTCTAAGTGATAACAAGACTTGTTTTTTATTATTTATTTTTATAAATATAAACAGCCATGAGTGCTGGTCAATGATAGATCAATGGTTCACTTCCCCATGTCTCACCTCAGCAAGTAAAAAAAAAAAAATTAATTTTTAGCTTACAAGGCCCTAGAGACACACAAGCTAGATTTTTGTCAGGAAAGAGGAAGTAAGAAATTTTAGTTATCAAGGAAAGCATCCTCTCTGGAGTTTGTTACACAAAGTAACAGTTCTTAGGAAGAAGCTGTCTGAGTAAGACTTGCTCCTTATCATAGGAACACAAAATGAATAGGGGTGGTTTGCCACTGGGAATATTTCATGGTGGGTCCTAGATGTGTAGGTCTTAATATTTTCAGAATTCATCAGTTAACATAATTCAGTTCTCAGCCATGGAATGATTTTTACTCTTCTCACAGAAATTTCTGATATGGTAGAGGATTGCTATCCATTTTGAATCATTATCAATCACTTTCCCATTGCCACAATCTCACTTTTCTCTGCCTTTTCTATAAATACTTTCATGGTAATTGTTTGCATGAACTCTAACTATGGTACCTAGACTTGATGAATTTAAGTGCAATACTAGATTGGCAGCTAGGTCTCATCATCTCGCAGTTGAAATGACTAGATGTAATCGTAAATCCTATGCTAACAGTTTCCTTTTTTGGACTTCTTACTTGTGGGACTCTCTTCCAGCTTCTTGCTTTTCAGTTAACTTTAATCTTCAAAAATAGCCCAGCCCTCATAATTGTTGGTTGTATTAGCACTGGTATTACTATCAATCTTCCCTTCTTTAGTGCAATGAGAGAGGTACTGCCACAAATTCAAGACCAGACACCTTTTAATGATATTTTCAATTTCTCTTTGTCCACAGACAGACACATAACTCTGTCTGAAGACAAAGACACAGTTGAAAGATAAAATGTAGTTTATCCGCACAATGGTAGATACTACACTTTGATCCCAGACTGATGGCCAGGTAGTGAAGAAAAGTGTAACTTGTCTAGCACTAGCTGCTTGGTCAATGAATGCCGAATGTTCTCACATAAGGAAACTGCTAATTATCAATACCATATGCAGCCATTGGTTGGCAATCAGTTATAGACATTTGCTAATGTTATCCTTCCACAAGGTCACTAGTGTCTGGCACTCAGGGAGGATTAGACTCACGACAGAAATAATAATCTGAAAGATTAACTTACCAACAACACTTTTGCGTTTAGGTAACCAGATAATAAATTATGGTAATTATTATATTTAATCAAATAAAATGTATTTGAGTTAATACATAATCACATGGTGTTCTGAAAAATTCTTAGCCAAACTACCAATATTGACCAAGAGTCATGAACTATACACGATATTCACTCTTGAATGATTATTTGATTTGTTTTGTATGGCTTATCTACCCTTTGCTGTTATTTAAAGCCAGAAAATATTTCTAGATTGTAAGAATTTTTTTGGAGATAATAAGGAATTACTGATACAAGTCCTACTAATTAACCCATAGCTGGAGGGAGAAGAGGTGGATTCATACCTTTCCCAAGGGTATTTGTGTGTAAGAGAATATAATGAAACTAACTGGAACCTGGCCCTCTGATTTCTATCTGTTATCCATTACCCCACTTATATGTCCAAGCTTACAGCGCCTGGCATTCTCAAGCAGTCACTCATCTAGGTACTGACCAGGCTTGACATTGTTTAACTTTGGTGATTGCATGAGAGCCAGTGTTTCAACACAATATGGCTGTAAGTCATATTTATACTGAAATTCAATAAACTTTGCTATTGTTTCTTCTATTTTGTTTGAATTCTTCCAAAAACAACAAGGTCTTGATGCTTCCTCATTGAAATACAGTACAGTCATGTCTCACTTAACAACTTATTATTTAAGGGATCCCCCAAGAGGTATGACCACCTATACAATCTCATAAAATATATAGATAAAAAAATCCACCTTTGATCAAGATTGCTTTCTCTTTCTTCAAAATGAATAAAATGAAAAATAAATAAAAAATTCTGTGAGCCTCTCACTGCTTTATGACCATTTCCATGACACATGTTCTGACAGGTGACATTCTTGAGTCTTACCAGCCCTGACCTTTAGAACTGGGACCCACCATGCCATGTACGCATGTGTGAATCATCCACATGGACAGCTTTTCCCCAATAACTGTGGTTTTGTAGAACACACTCTCTTAGCAAGATGTTTTTTCCAGTCACTACAATCTTAACTATTATCATTCCTGCATAACCACATGAACTCAACTTCTTGCCTTTTCTTATGCTCATACAACACCACATAGTAAGCTTCTGCATTGAGTGGCTCTTGGGCCTTGTATTGGGTTACCATTAGTATAAAAAAAAATGTTCAGAACATTTTCTTAAAAAGTCATTTCACCCCAAGCAAGGCGGGAATGCCACTAGTACATAGGAGGTTACAGAAAATGAAAGAGAAGATGGATAATATGGACGATTGACGAAAAGACAAAAGATGAATTGGGTTTCAAGACAGAAGATGGTGATACAACTGATTTTTGAAACCGTTTATTATATCTACTGTTCCATACACTGCTGTTCTACATAAACATTTAGAAATAAATGGGAAATGTTAGAAATGATGCCAAAGTGACATTAAAGCTATCAGAAGCTGGTTGACAAAAACCCATTACAAGTGTAGCAAGCCCGAGATAGCCACTAGGTACAACATCTCACTTTGCGCCCTCGTCATTAAGTAAGCAGTGGCTGGAAAATGATTGAATTGAGAACTTTTCTGCACCCACCCAGTATTAATTTTAAATAAAAGTAAAATAAGTAAAAAGTAAAAATAAAGTAAAATGTATCAACTCTACTGATGTTTAAATTATTGATATGATATTTATAATTTTAATATATATTTTTTTTTATATAAAGGACGCAGCGTTGATATTTTGCATTTTCTTTGCCATTGAAGAATCAGTTTTAAACAATTTACAAACATGCATTCTTTTCTGACATTTTTTGTCAAAATATTTCTCTGATTATTGGGAATTTGGAAGAATAAAGGTCTGGAAGCTATTTGAAAAATTTTCAAAACAAAACTGCTTGTCACAACCCCCTTACCACTTTCAGAATGGAATGATCTTGACTCAGGGTGACATTGTGCGGGAGTTAAAAATTAAATAAATAAAATCTTTTGAAAATCCATATGCAAATTAGGGTAGTTTTTGCAAAGATTCTCTCTGTCACTCTGTCTGCCTGTCTGTCTCTTTCTTTCTTTCTTTCTTTCTTTTCATTTGTTCTTTCATTTTCTTCTTTCTTTACATTCTTTCTTTTTTGTTTTTTCTTTCCTTTTGTTCATTCTTTCTTTTTGTTTTTTGTTTTTTCCTCTGTTCTTTATTTCTTTTTCTTTCTTTCTTTCTTTCCTTTTTTCTCCTTTCTTTGTTTCTTTCTTTCCTTTATTCTTTCTTTCTTTCTTTTTCTTTTCTTTTCTTTTCTTTTTGTTCTTACAAAAAGTTAATTTTTAAACAGTTATCCCAAATTCTGAGATATTGGCTTCATGATAATGTCATAATTTATTCAGATATTTTGCTACAATTTACTAACCAAAATTATAGATTAAAAGCAATAGTTACTTACTACTCTAATGGATATTTACCAAGCTCACTTTAGTATGGCAATAGGCTACAAATGCATGAGAACAAATGAAATCAACTGTTATAATCATCTCCAGGGTAAAATGTCCAAATTGATATTTACTAAGCTTAGTTTGGCATAAGGGCACTCGGTGAGAATCACACTTGCTACAGTAGTAATGATTTGAGAGATTAGTTCATGAATTCTTGCTTTATGGTGTGATACTCTTCTTGTAGACTAATCAACTAATTTATTTCAATTAATAAGACAGTTTTAATTAATAAAAATGGTTAAAAAAACGTACAAAAAATTTTTTACAAATTTCTTGTGTCAAATTTCCTTGTCTCTTCAGTACATTGGCAATCATGGCTCGCCACAATACCCTGTTCTTTGTAGCTCTTAATAAACTTTGTCTTTTTGCTATCTCTCCCAAACCTTGTTCTGCAATCCATTCATTCAAGCTTACCAGGTAGGTTATGTTATTTTCCTTTGTCTCTCTTTTCTGCCCTGTTAGTATCAAATTTTCCAAGCCATCTTTTCTTATTATGTGCAGTAGAAATTTCAACTGATGTTAAGTATAAGGGTCTTTTTTGTTTAGATTTTCTGTAAGAGTTTGTTGTTGTTCACATGTTCGATCCATGATATTCTCAGCATCCTTGCTAGTATTATTATGTGGTTTTGAATTCAGAGCTGTCTTTTTCCTACACTGGTTGCCAGTTAAAAGTTTTTCTTAGAAAGTTACTTAGCATATTACGTTGAGAGCATTTTTCTGAATATGTAGGCAGGGCTAATGAACACAGTCTATCCTAGCTCAGATAGTGAGGGATTTCCATTTTTCTTGTTTTTTAAAATCATATCACCCCATGCAAGGCAGTAAAGCCACTAAGACAGCGGGTAAAGAATAATAAAAAAAAAAAAATGAGAAACATAATTAAGAAGACAGTAGGTAACAATTGACAATGCATTTAAATTTTTGAAGATAGCTGGAAGAAAGTTCTACATGTGAGAAGTGCAATAAAAGAAACTGTTAGCATAGAACTTACAGTTGCATCTCGCCAATTCAACTGCAAATTGATGAGACCTTGCTGCCATTCTAGTACTGCACTTAAATTCATAAAGTCTAGGTACCATAGTTAGAGTTCATGCAAACAATTACCATGAAAGTATTTATAGAAAAGGCACAGGGAAGCTACATTACAATAGTGGGAAAGTGTCTGAGGCAGAGATGCCAGGTCAAGACCAATAATATTACTGATTCTTCTTTGTATTTTTATCAAGAATCTCTAAATATACGGCATCATTGGGCCATATGTAGCCACAACATTTGAGACATGGACAAATGATAGACTTATAAATATGTAAGATTCAGGAGAGAAAAATTGTCTAGCAAGACACAGTGAACTAACTTTCTTAGCAGCTGATCTAACAATGTACTCAATATATAATCTTCCCACTTTATATCAGTAGAGAATGTTAGCCTGAGGTGTGACGAGTGACTTTCATAGAGCTAAGTATCTACCACACTGATGGAAAGCAGGAACATGTCTGATTAGCAGAATTTTTATTTTGGAGGTGTTAAAATTAACATGCCATTCCTTGCCCCAGTTAACAAAAGACTGTAGGTCATTTTTTTATGATCAACTGCCAATTTGACCTTATTGAACTGATCAGGCTTACTATTGAGACAGGAGTAAATGGTTGTGTTATCAGCATAGATACCAGGTTAAGAGCCATGAGGAAAGTCATTGATAAAAATTAAGAACAAAATAAATCCAAGGATAGAGCCATAGAGGATACCTGCATTAGTACAAAAAGATTTATCAGACTTATCTTTCTCCTACACTGGTTTCAAACTATGACTAGGGAGCCCAGTCTGCTCTGCTATTTAACCCATAGCTGGGGGAAGGGATGGATTCATACTTTTTGTGCAAAACTGAATGTAATGAACATAACTTGGATTTGAACTTGGCTCTCTGATTTTTCCTTCCAAACTATGCACTACCTATGCAACCTTTTTCTGTTTACACAACAGTTTTGCAATTATATTGATTAATTTTCTGCATAAGTGATCTCGGATATAGATCTATAAAATTAGCCCTATTTTCAGATGTAAGAAAGAATTCTGCTTTCTAAATCAAAGTCAATATATCCAAAGAAAGCTAGCCCAAAAGAAATGTCACTATATTACCAACCTGATTTACTCATACTTACTAAAGAGATATTCCATTCTATGGTAAAACAAAGCATGTTTATTTTTGGATATAGAGTAATGCATCTATCTATTACATACTACTGCAAATTGAGAAAAAGGACAACCTCAATAGTAAGCAGTTATCAACAATATAAGTAATGTTTCAAACTTCACTTTTGTAAATAAAAACAAAGTACAGATAACTCTGTAAGATCTCATGGATTGAGTTGACAATGTATTTATATTATGACATGACCTTCTTTCCAAAGAGATTAAAAAAATACTTAATAATTTTTTATTTTAACAAATGCTGTGGCTTGAGGATAATCTAAAGCAGGTGTTACCAAACTTTTTTGCGTCATTGCCCACTTTCATATGGAATCATTTTTGCCTGCACACCTATATAGTAAATATTCAAAAGCATACCAACATTGTTTGGTAAAATTTTGTTTTTCTTCTTTGTGCTTTGTTCGTTCAGCACATAAGTGTTCATGGCTCTCCACAATTTCCTGTCCTTTGTAACTCTTTGTTACTCGTTCATAAACTATGTAGTAAAAAATACAAATAATATGTATATATATATATATATATCATACTTATTATAAAACCCACGTTGTGTGTGTGTGTGTCTGTACGTTTATATATTGGATCGGATTTCTTACATTTTTCAACCGATTTCAACAAAACTTCACAGGACTACATTAAAATTACTTTTGCAGTGGTTCTGTTAGCACAAAAACAGGAAAAACATAATTGTTTTTGCACGAAATCTATTTGAAAACATGATTAAGAGGCATCGTGAGGATGAAAGGGGACAACTCATATCATATTAAAACTCAGGTTGTTTATGTGTGTTCGTTTATATATGGGATCGGATTTCCTACATTTTTCAACCAATTTCAACAAAACTTCACTTTTTTTGGCAGGTCGTGTTTCTTATTGTCTTGCACACTTTTTTCTTTTATTTTACATTTAGAATGCTTTAAAATTCCATTTACAAGACAATTGTTTATAATAAAATTCTACTCAATCGGGGTAGACTCATAATGATTGAAAACAATGTTTTGTTTGAGTTTGGGTTTTGACCAATTTTGTAAAAAAAAAAAAAAAAAAACTAATTCTTGATCTATCTCTTACTGTTACATCCCCGGGCAATGCGGGTTCTACTAGTATATATATATATATATATATATATATATATTTTTATCTTTAGAGTTAGTATTTCAAGTGTTAGAAAAATTAAACAATTTTTGTTCATAATTATAAATATTTTTTTATTGTTCTTGGTCATCCCTTATCTGACTTATATCGAAAAAAATGTTATTTTGTCAGAACTATTTAAATGTTAATGACCCGTCTCAAAACTATAGAAGATACAAAAATATTCCTTCTTTGTGGGGTGAGTAGGGGTGTAGGATTTTTATCTTATCTAGGAATGTGACACAGTTATTCCCAATTAGGCTGTTTGTTTTTTTTTGTAGTGCTGTAGTTTCAATTAGAGAGTGTAGACGTTCATTTTATCCTAATCATCTTCTCACTTGTATAAATCATCTTCCTCTTATTATCTGTCTTATTGCCAGGTATTTTATCAAAAGTTCTCATCACTGACATGTCACAATATTTAGCAGAAAATGTAGGTGGAAGTGCACTTGGCCAAACATTTTCCATAAATAATTTACCTGTCTGAACAAAAGTAGCAGAAAACCCAATTTTTGTAGAGGTTTAGCAAAAGGCTGAATTTAAATGAATTACTGTTCGAGGTAAGTCATTAGGGATGGGGTAACTTTTAATACATTCTTTATAGAACTCCAGAATAACATAAATACCATCTGAAAATGGCTGGGTTTCATCTAATTTTGTTGTTTAAACATGGTAAAAGGTTTGCCCAAATCAAAATATTCCAACAATTTTGACTTTTGTTAGAAGAAAAAATTACTTTTGATTATTCCATCAATTATTTGAAATGTCAACCATATATATATATATATGTAAAAAGCATACATTGAGTAAATATATATATATATATATATATAAAATGGCATACATTTAATAAATGTGCGATATTAGTGGAAAATGCTCAATATCGGTTGCATATATACATACTACATACATACATATATATATAAAATATATATATATATAATGTGCATATGATAAATAAATACACACATATATGTGTATGTGTGTGTATATATATATATATATATATATATATATATATATATATATACATATATATACTTAATGGTATCAAGATGGCTAAAATATGATATCTGAAAAACTAGAAAAAAACATGTTTAGTGGTTTTTAGATATTAAACATTTAATAGGATGGATAATTATACTCTAACATGATTTGGAAAAATTTAGCTGTTACACCCAGTATATTTTATATAAAATAGCATACAGTGAGTAAATACATACATATATATATATATATATATATATATATATATATATATATATATATATATATATATAATAGCATGTAATGAGTAAATGTAAATAATTTTTTAATATCAAAGAGAGGTTTTTCACAGGAGCGTTACTTAAAAAAATTTTGAATTTCATGTAACTGCACAAGATTTGGTTTTTTGTTTATCATCA